AAAAAAAAAAAAAAAGCAACAGCGAGTGAATCCAAGTCTCAGTCGCTTCCATCCAATAGACTAACATGTAACGCGGCATCCTGTTGCCGCCCCATTTGTTCCTGCATATGGTCATGACTCTTCCTCATGCTTCTCCTCCCGCTAATAAACCAATGCATGTCCGTAACGCCTCGTCCCCTCCAATCAACTGTATCCGAAATGTGTCGAGATGTGGTGTATCCAAGTGTCACTCTTTGTAATCCACTTCCATCTCAAAACGCCTTGCGGCTTCCTCTAGTAACCCATCCCAGTAGGTATCATTGTATATGAAGTGAAACAATAAAAGAAAATAAAGAAAGAAATATCTCTATCCGTTCGATAGAGATGAGAAAATGAATGATAAAGCCTCGTATAGAACTCGGAAGTCGTACTTCCAATCCTGGTCCTCGACGACTGGCAAATGCCTGCTTCGCCTTATGAGGTGGCCCTGGCCGCTCTCATGGAATTGAAGAGAAAGGTTAGACTAGAACTTGATGGTTTCACCCAGCATTGCTCCTACTACCATTCATAGGCCAGCCAAGAAGGTTTGGTAGGAGCAGTACTCAGATCAACAAAAAGTCCCATCCCTTCGATTCCATGACATCCCGCCAGTGGATGTGCAGCTGGGTCGCCTCAGACGTCGTGGACCCGGGTGTGCTAACGCCCGAGAGGCTATCATTTTGTGCCCACACCTCGTGTAGGAGGGTGGAAACACGTCCCATGGTACCAAATCGACCTGCATCACCGAGCTGGGCAAGGCGATCTTCAAAGAAAGCTCGGAATGTGCTACCAGGGACGCTGGTGGAACCGCCAATGAGATAGACCCAAGCAAGGTTGCGGTCAAATCCATTGGGGCCCGAGGGGATGTGCTGGAGCACATTTGTCAGCTTCTCAACCAGTCCCATGGTGGAAGGTTGTCTGGGGTTGAAGCCAGGAACCAGGCTGCAGAGGTAGATGCGCGCGGCAATGCGGAAGGCCATGGTCATGTTCTTAGAAAGCTGCTTGGGTGAAAGGCTTCCGTTGGCGTTGAAGGGCATCTTGGGGCCCGCATCTCCCATCTCGGTCAAGCTGATCTGCTCACCAAGCGCAGAAACATGCTGGCAGAGAGTGAAGTCATCCATGCCGTCCTTCTTGAGGGACTCGAGGCAGGCGATCTCAGAAATGAGGTACATGACTCGGTCTTCACAGCCCATAAGCTCGCGCAGTCCAAGACTAGGGTTGAACTGAGAAAGGTGCTTCTCGCGGTAAGTGTGAGCAAAGGTTGGTGATCTACCCTTCATGGTAGCGCCAAGAATGTCGATCCATGAGGACAGAGACATGTTGAAGGGAGTTTGCATGGAAGCTCGGGTGGGGTCAGTGACCATGCCAGGCAGGTCAAGCTTCTGTACCAAGCTAATGGCAGCTTGGAAGTGTTGGTGCCATGGGATGTCCAACAAGCCGTCATCATAGCGACCGACGACGGACTGGAAGAAGATGAGACCGAGAGTTGCCTCGAGAATTTGCTGGTGGTTCTCATCCTTCTTGAGCGCCTCGCAAAGAGCCCAGATAGTAGCATAGCGATGTCGCATAATGTCGTTGTCGAGCTCCTCGGTAGAGGAGTTGGTGTGCGACTTGAGGTGCTGGGCAGCAACACTCAAACAGCAGTGAAGGTAAGCGCTGTTTGACTGAAGAGCAGGGAGAACAAGATCGGAGCCGACTGAGCAGTGTTGGTTGGACTCGAGGATTGGGAAGATTGTTGGCAACACGAACTGGATGAAGTGATCCAACAGGCGCTGGTCGTTCTCATCAAGCTCAAGCTGAATCTGTCTCGACTCTGTTGAAGGACCGTGAGGGAAGTCGAAGAAGTTGCAGTTGAGTGTCTCTTCAGAGAGGGATTCCTTGCGCTCTTGGAACACCTGCTCGGCCCACTCACCATCCAGACCATGGGGAAGGACTGTACCGGCAGGAGGAGGAGTGTGGTAAGTGCTGAAGGTGGAGATGTGTGATTCGCGAACTGTAGGGACATCGTTGACAAACATTTGTCGCTCTGTCTTGACGTCAATCTCATATGGCGAGTAGCTACCAAACATGAACTCGGGGTGCATGGGAGCACCAAAGCCATACTCGTTACTGCTTGGGGGGCTGTTGAAGTTGAAGGCAGCAGGGTATTGAGAGTCGATGGAAGCAGATCTTGTACGGTCGAGAGGATCAGTGAAGGTGGCTGATGTGGGAAGAGAGTGGGTAAGACCAGGAGGAGAGCTGGTGACAGAGTTCTGAATGTTGTGAGATGACTTCTCAGAGAGCTTCTTGCGCTTGATGATCATCTTGATGTCCTCCTTGTGCTTCCTTCGCATATCATTGTTGCTCCACCACATGGGTCGCTTGTACTCGCACTGCAAGCCGAGGTGCTTGCAGGCTGTGCACATAGGAGTTCCCTCGTCGCATTTCTTGCGTCGCAAACGACAAGTGTAGCAGCCTGTGTAAGTGAGATTAGCTTAAGTCTTTTCTTTTTTTGGTCGGGCACTACCATGTGAGTGAGTTAACATACCTGTTCTTGAGCGACGGTGCATCTGAGTCTTGGTCTTGGGCTTGCCATTGCTGGCTTTGGAGGCCGGCTTGGCCTTTGCAGACTGAGATACAGTCATGTTGACGGTGTTCTCGGAAGCTCGCGAGACGCCTTTGCGATAGTCGGGGGGCAGCGTAGACATTTGTAGGCTGCGATGCTGGACCGTAGAGTATTGGCGTGCTAGGGGACCAGGATGGGGTGTGTGATCTACAAGGGGGGAGTGGGACTGTGCAATCAGGGACCACCTGCGCACTGTACTTGACTTGACTTGATTTAGTGTGTGGAGTCGATCACTCCAAAAGGCTGAGAGACGAGAGGAGCAAAAAATCCAGAGCCAAGAGGTTGGGCGTTGAGAAACGTGACCGGGGGGATATCGAATCCGAGTCTGTATCTTCCGTTTCAACAAGTCGAGAATTAAATTAGCGTAATTGTGTTTTTGTATCGGTCAAGATCAGTATGGATCTGAGCGAAATTTGTGGACAGTCGTGTAAGTGGCAGCCAGGCCGACTCTATCAAACCACAACTGTAGTCGTTCGTTTCGTCCGTTCGTTCGGAAATTGTCCAAGGATTGACTGGTTCAAAGCAAGTCCGGCTTGCTCTTCACTGGAGATTGTTTGTAAGAACAAAGATGTTCGGGGAGTAGATGAGGGTTGAGGAGGGCGGTAAGAGAGGAATGGAAAGGGGATCAAGAGAGCCTTTGGCGACACTTGGGATCTCTGAACACAACGAAGAAGAAAGAGGGTTAAATTCTTGGGCGGCTGCTGGAGGGCTAAATCCTTATATTTTGGCCGCTTCTCTCGCGGCCCTTCACACGTCGATTCGATGATGGCTTCCCATCGTCGTGTTGCTATTTTTGCATCATGCACACAGAACCTGCCATGGCACCAAAGGCAGCGACTGCGCTTAGAGAAGCCAATGAGAAGAGTCGCTCAAAGATAGTCTCTCTGCGTCCATCGGATCTCCACTCTAGGAATAGATGTGCACAAGACGGCATAGGGCGAGCAGGGATTCTGCAGTAGAAAGAGGAAAGTCGCGCATGGTGTGCCCATCCAGTTGTCCGTGGTCATGGCAAGCAGCCACTCTGCTTGCACCAAGAGCTCATCAAGAGGGGGGGCTGGATCCCTTTGCGATCTAGCTCTTCACGGGAGAACATGCGAGGCGGCGAGCTTTGACTTTCTGATTTGATTTGAGGCCATCCACTTGACCAAGACATTGACTAGTAGCAGATCATCCCCAGTTCAACTACCATTCAAGGTTCCCTAATTAGGTTGAAATTATGTTTGCTATATTGAGTAGCAACTTGGGTAGTTTCTCTTTCGCAGTATGTATTCGAATCTCAGTCGACCAAGATTCCATGCAGCAGATCTGTGTCGTAGTCAGTATGGGCTGCTTCAACGGACCACTACCAATATTGGTTTCTAAACCAAGAAGCAGTAACACCCACCATGATGCTGATAATGAAGCTCACCGGACTATCGCACCTGCATATGCGCAAAGTACACCGGAGAGGGGAAAGGCCAAAAGGTCGCACAAGGATGCGTTCACTAGTTCGCATCCTCTATCAAGGTCCATAGCATGAACGACCAAACGGGGCAGGGTCGTTCCATGCTCAACTGCCAGAGCTTGTACTGTGCTAGTATGGAAAGTTTATTCGGTCGCACTTGAGATGGGTTCATTAAACAGTCGCATCTAGTGCAGTCGTGGGCCGTTGAGAAATTCATGATTTGCGAGTCACGCTTCACGCTTTGAGTCTTGGAACTCGACACTGGTCCACGATCGGCCAGGATTTGTCGGGCTCTAGGACATAACTGACATAGGTTGGCAGTATCGAAATGCCTTATTGGGTACCTAGATGGATTTCGACGAATAGAAAGGCCAAAGAGGCGGTCAACCATTAGATTGGTCGAGCGGCAAAAGGCCTCATGGATGCAGACCTGCAAGTGGCTGCCCGCAGCCGGGTCGAGAAGGCCCCATGAATAGCGTATCAAACTCCTCTCAACACCAAGTCTCCAGTTCGAAAGTATACCGACATGGTTAGGTAGCACATGTGTCGTGAACTAGGGACTCTGTAGGGACCGGGGGGCCAGGTCGGTGACGTCTGGCAGCGCGGGGGTGATCGTGGGTCTTGAAAGATATTCCGTAATTCGAGGTCACGAGTGTTGAAAGGAGTCGTGCATTGCAGCTTTGAGCCATATAGAAACAGCTCTAGACAGGCATTGGCATGTCTTGATAGCCTTTCAGCTCGTCCGAAGCTTGGTGACCAGGTTATCCTTGAGTGAGACAGACAAATATTGAATCATGCGGCCTCAGCGTTGAGAAATAATGCAGCGTACTTCGTAGTCGGTACTCACTATTCTGCAGTGGACCGTAGCATTTTGACGAGTACCCGACCCGCGTGGTGTCCTCAACGACAATCCTTTAGTGGATATGACAAGGCCATTGTTCATTGATGTTGCTGTCGAGTACGAGGCAATACTCGGTAAGGTACATGCGAGTACCCTCAGGTGGCTGAAAAGCTCTGCTGGCGCTAGGTCGGGTCGCATTGAAATCTGCTGTCATTTGGTGGGAAAAAAGAATCGGTCTGGTGAAGAGGCCGAGCAAGGAGCCTTGTTAGCCATGTAACTGTCGTGTAGTGTCGTTGGAGAAGGAGCGTTTCTGGCCCGTGATTCGACAGACGAGGGTGACACGCTTGCATTAGTGCGTGATGGGACGGGACCAACCGATGAGGAGCTCCTGCCGCGAGGCAGGGGTCAAAGCAGGGTCTAGTCCCAAATCACGTTAGCACCCTTGTCTTGCTACCCCGGCCTCAGATCTGGATTGGCCGTGAGCCGCAGTTGGCTTGACAGGGAGCTATTGTAGCTTAAGCCAATCAGGTATCAGAAGACGATAATCTCTGCCTTCTTCTTCTAGGACCGTTCCAGGGGCTACCCTGTCCTGTCCTAGCGCAAGACCCTGACCCTGACAGTATTCTTGTCCTAAGAGTGATCAACAAAACACCGAACCGAGCGGGGAAACTCGACAGCCTTGGGCTAGAGATGATGTGATAAGCGGACCATAACGGGCATTAACGGACTGCGTGTATGTAATCGCTTGTAAAGGGTCTTGAGAGAAATTCTCGCCATCTATAACATCATTGTTGGTGGCTGGATGACACGGACAGTACCTGCTTGGTAGTAGGACAATAGATCCAATATCGATCTTATCTAGAGATGGATATGTAGATTGCTTATGTTTGTGGAGGAGGCTGACGCTGCAGAAACCAACAGTCAGATCATCAGTCTCTACCAACCAGCTTAAGTCTCTCCTACACCACCATTCAAGAAAGTATGCAAGACCATACCATTGAAGGTTGAGAACTTGAGCCGGATTAGGTATCATCTGCACCTCGCAAGGTACATTAGCCTATCTTTGATAGTCATCACGTCTTCTCTGTTTGTGTCTCTGTGAGCTATCTCAACTCACAACTGATCAACTAATCATCAACACACGGTTGCATAATTAGCAATTTTCAATGGCATTATCCATATTTATTTCCTCGAATCGAGTCAGTGCAAAGAAACCACGGACCTTATACAAACTCATGAATCTTTCCGAGTCTAGTACTGATCTAATCTTTAGACTGGTGGCCCATTGGATCTTATCACAAAAGGGTAGCTCGTCTGCTCATCTCCTAGGATGGTATCGCCTGTCAGTTCTAACATTCCCACTTGGACTTCTCTCTAGGCCTGAGTGATGGATATAGCTCCCCCGCCAATGCGAGTCATTGCCTTGTCCCCGCTCGCTACTGTACAATTTAAACACTGCCGGTCGACTCCGTCTGTTGGTCGTTTTGTCGTCTGTTCGTTCCGTAGCATCCCTGATCCTTGCTCCCTGCTCCAGCTCAACTGCAGGCATGCTTCGATAAACCGACTCGACAGACTCTCTTTTCGGCTCCAGGACCCGTCTGGGCCGGAGACTTTGGCCCTTCATTCCTATTTTAACATTTAGCCCCCTCATCTTCTCTTTTCGGATACATAATTCGGGCTAAATTGTCACTTTGTCGCCCACTCGGCGCTTAATCGAGTTTGGCTCAACCAGTGCAACACCAACCCAGCGCTAACAAATCCCATCACATCTTGTCACATCTAGTCTTCACTTTAGCATCTATTTTTAATTTAGCCCGCATTCCCTGCTACATACCGACATAATTTGGTCATGATCATGCTCATATGCGACCTAAATCTTTATCGATTTGGGCTAATTATGGAAAAACGTGTACTAGGTCTTGGTCTTGCTCAAGTTCGCTTGATGTAGTTTGTCTCCAATAATTGCTCAGCTCCTCAGCAACCTTGACTTCTGTTTACATGGAGATCCTACGTTCTTTCAACCTACTCTGATGCTCCCTCTTAGTTAATGTCTTGGTTGTTCTCCGGGTGGTCCGCCTTCTCCAATCTAACTGGATTGCGCAGGGACCTGTTCATCCATTTGATGAACATGTTAATATTCTGATCTTCAGCCAGCGTCGTAGTCCTCGGCTTCAATGTAACCGGACTGGAGTAATACTCTGTCCCGTACAATCCTCATCAAATCTTGTCTATCAAAATTTTGTCGCAATCTACTATCAACCTCAAGCACTGTTCCATCAGCATTCCTGCTTGAGCTGCCTACCTACCCTGTTAGCCTGTCAACATGGGCCACAACTCGCGGCCGACCTCGAATATCACAGCTCAACCCCAGCTTGATAATTCGATATCACGAACTCTCACCCTCCATTACGACGCGATTCATCTCAATGTGACCGGACGAAACCTTCGTCCGGTCAAAGGTGTCATGTCACGTAGTGCTTCAGACGGTCTAGCCTTGTGTGGCTGAAGAAACTTTACTCTATACTCGAGATTGAGTTTTGTACCTTGAATCTTCACAGTGAGTGTGTTGGTTGCTCTCGATAACTTACACACCACCATAGACGTTAGTGGGCCTTTCCGTAGCCGTTGAAGGGTCCGCGGAAAGAGTTTCTTGTCCCTGGCGGGCCGGTCCAAACTTAAGATGGACGGGAGTTAAACGCACATCCAGGGTATTGGCCAGTTCAAGCTGAACTCT